TTTCTTTCATAAATAGATTGAGAGGTATTTTTGAACAAAATATTGCGTTTGATGTATCAGTAAATGGTGCATTCAATTGGTGAATGGCACAGACCAAAAATATATGAAAAAATGCTGGGAGAGAGCGCAGCATTAAATGCGCTTGAATCCATTCAGTGTTTTATGTGACCAAATACAAACGACGGGATAGCACCTTGCCCACCAGCTTGCCATATTCACTGAAGTTATCGAAATCATCTTCGTCACTGTCCGTTCCCTCAGTTCCTTTATACTTTAATTGGATGAAAATCAATTGAACAAAAAAATGAAACCCATTGAAAATGACTTCGCTTATCTCCATAAAATGAAAAAAAAAATACCTCCTTATAGTCTCTGTACGTTAAACAGTATTTGTAATCAACAAGCAATCGCAAATGATTCAAATCAGTGGCCGGATTAAATTCGTTGGGATCACTGGCCTGCGGATCCAAATTAAAGCGCGAGTATTTCGATTCATCTAATAACTTGAGTATATCTACATTCAGAAGAAGAAAAACAAATGAAATAATTTTTTTTTTCTCATTTGACAAGAAGGGAAACAACAAATTCAAAACAAATAGAAAATTGAAAAAAAAAATATCCGGCAAAAATAATCGAAAAGTATTTTTAAAAAATTTGTTTTCTTTTTGAAAAACTAAACAACAAAATTTAAAAATCAATTGAACAAAATATTGCGGTAAAAAATTGATGGAGCGACTAATTTACCATCATTGATCAGATGCCACGTATAAGTCTCCGGGCATAATAAATACGACGGATGTAATTTTCCCTTGTATCGCATCTTCGGACAACTGTGTATGTAAAATCCCATATAGTATTCGCTTAACTCAGCTGTCGATTCATTCAATTCCCTCACAAACTGCACTTCACGCAATGTTCCGTAGGTTCCGAGCGTTAAAAAACTATACTCTATATGGGATAGAATCGATTTTTAATTGGTCTACTTTTGAGATTTTTTTTTGAATGTTAAAATAAATTGAAAAAAAAATATTCCACAGTGATATCATCACTTTTTTTTCTTCTGCGGCATAAATGAAATTGCAGGAGAAAAATGAAAGAAACTAGCTAATGCAAATTTTATTCTCTCACCTGGATCGTAGAAGAAATAAACGGAGCTCACGCATTTCGGTAGAATATCGATGACACCAACGGCAATCAGTTTGTCGTCGAGCCAATATTGTTGATGAAACGAACCATATCCACATGTTGGCCCATCGTCTGGTGTCTCATGCTGTTTTGAAAATATAACAACAATTTCACTAATTCTATTCATGTAACACGAGTCTACCGTCAATCCTTTCATTTCTTTATCGCGGGAATAAGTACAAGATACAAAAATTCATTTGTTATTTCTTTTTGTTTACAGGAAAATCGTCGAGAAGTCGCTGCTTGACGCATTTCATGATTAAAATATAACATATATTTCTATAATAGTTTTAAAAAACGAACCCGTTATACGTTTTGTTTCTCTCACTAGCTAAAGAACGAAAAATAAACAAATAATCAACTAGTGATGGAATATAGACCAAATTTACCGTCGGGACACAAACCTTTTTCCCCATTCTCTCTACCATCCTTCTTCTTTTCTGAAACGAAACGATTTTGATTTCAATTCAAACGAAAGACAGACAAATCAAAACGACAACATAGAATTATTTTCTTCCATTTGTATCTTTAATGCATAGAAATTGTCAAACTTTTACCAAGGAAATTTAATTGATTTCGAGAAAATCGTATTCAATATTTCAATTGTTCGGAGCAATAAAAGAAAAAAATACACAGTTGAGATGGCATTATTTATTCATTGCATTCAATCAATGCTGTTGGTATGAAATGCATATGGTCTTGATTGCATTTTTTTTTCACATCGACACAAACGGTTTAAAAACAAAGTGATGACGTCTTCAATACTTACGTGTATATTTTGCTTGAATAGAAAGGACAACAGTCATATAGAATTCGCAAAAGAATCAGCTCATCGTTTGTTAATTCAATTCTTCGCCAAACAGTTCTTGACACAGAAAATTTGCAATCATCAAATGCAGATAAGAAAATAAGTGTAGCGACATATAGTCGACAGAGGCTCATGCAAAAATGGATTAGCTACAATTGAATGAAACAATGCGTTTTTTGCCATTCACATCTTCCTTGAATCACATAGCTGTAGCTATTTTTTCCATCTTCATTCCTTCTGCAATCCATGCACATTCAACACCAGATGTCGCTCAATTCAAATGGATATGAAGACATACGATCGCTATTTATTTCAAATAATAATCGAGTAAAAAAATAGTTCCAACTCAGTGAATAAATGATTTCGATAATTCCGTTTAAAATTTATGTGAAAAATTGTGCCTCGATTTTCTTGGTCGTTTTTTTTTTTCAAATTAAATTTTCCATAAATTCTACACTTCAGCTGATGCAAGAATTATCCAAGAGTTTCTTGATTATTTCTCTTCTACTCTCACTCAATATCGAGAGACCGTCTGATGGGAAGTTTGTATGAAAACCTTGGTTTGGCACTAGAATTACATTTGACCAAAACTCGGATTTCTGTTGTTCAACGAACAACATATATTGTGTATATACAAAGTTTATTCATATACTGATATTTTCCACCAAGATTCTGCAAATATTCTTCGAACTATTAAATATATATGAAAATATTCAGATTGCATGATATCTTTTGTATAAACGAATTTACTCCAGTATTTGATAACAAC